ATCCACCCGCCTCGGCCTCCCAAAGTGCTGGGATTACAGGCTTGAGCCACCGCGCCCGGCCAATTTTTTTTTAATTAGCCATGTGTGGTGGGTGGCACGTGCCTGTTGTTCCAACTTCCAGGAGGCTGAGGTAGGAGAATCACCTGAGGCCAGGAAGTCGAGTCTGCACTGAGCTGAGATCACTTCACTCCAGCCTTGGCAACAGAGCAAGACCCTATCTTAAAAAAAAAAAAAAAAAAGCAAGGCAAATGCTGTCACTCCTCTGCTCAAACTTCTATAGATATATGGATCCTATTTAGATCCAAATTCAAATAAGACAACTGGGAAAACAATTATTTAACATATTGAATAAAAATACATAAGTCCATAGTGACAGGAGGAGGGAGGGATCAGAATGGTACTTTACAACTACAAAACGGAATAATTGATTCAGACAAATGTAATTAACGCCAAAACACAACAATCAGGTGCAAAGGCTCTTTTCTTTTTTTTATAGAGACAGAGTTTCACCATATTGGTCAGACTGGTCTCCAACTCCTGATCTCAGGTGATCTACCCACCTCAGCCTCCCAAAGTGCTGGGATTACAGGCGTGAGCCACCGCGTCTGGCTAAAAAGGCTCTTTTCTTAGAAGAAGGTCTTTATGCTGTGGTGAAATACACCCCTCAGATTACCTAATTTTCAGAAAAGGTAAAAGATTGCTTTCCAGTGGAGCAGTCTGGCAGGCATTACCTTAACTGCAAGTTCAAATACAGTCTCCCTGATGAGTCAGCCTGAGATTTTGTGCCATCTGATGTGAGGCAAGATTAAGTACGCAAAGCATCACCTATGAAATTTTCCTGCTTCATATGTTGAATTTGAATCCAATTAAGATTTTAGGCCTATTGTGATTTCTAGTTTACAGAAAATACAGGAGCTAAGAGAGAAAAACCGGAAACAATTAGCTCCAGAATAAGGGACATTTCACGAAGTCAATGTCCTGAATTCTTTGTTTCATTTCTTTTATTTTCTTTTTTTTTTGAGATGGAGTTTTGCTCTTGGCCAGGCTGGAGTCTCGGCTCGCTACAACCTCCACCTCTTGGGTTGAAGCAATTTTCCTGTCTCAGCCTCCTGAGTAGCTGGGATTACAGGCATCTGCCTGGCTAATCTTTGTATTTTTCAGTAGAGATAGGGTTTCACCACGTTGGCCAGGCTGGTCCTGAACTCCTGGCCTCAGGTAATCCATCTGCCTCGGCCTCCCAAAGTGCTGGTGTTATAGGCGGGAGCCACGACGCCCAGCTGTTTTCTTTTGGAGACAAGGTCTGGCTCTATCATCCAGGCTAGAGTACAGTGGCACCATCACGGCTTACTGCAAACTCTGCCTCCCAGGCTCAAGCAATTCTCCCACCTCAGCCTCCTGCGTAGCTAACACCACATGCTCACACCAGCACGCTCAGCTAATTTTTATATTTTTTGTAAAGACAGGGTTTTGCCATGTTGTCCAGGCTGGTCTCCAACTCATAAACTCAAGCGATCTGCCCGCCTTGGCCTCACAAAGTGCTGAGATTACAGGCATGAGCCACCGTGCCAGGCTGTCTTGAACTTTTAAAAAATCAACATAAAAGCCAGGCGCGGTGGCTCACGCCTGTAATCCCAGCACTTTGGGAGGCTGAAGTGGGTGGATCACGAGGTCAGGAGTTCGAGACCAGCCTGACCAATATGATGAAACCTCGTCTCAAAAAAAAAAAAGTCAATATCGAGGCCGAGGCAGGAGGATCACCTGAGCTCAAGAGTTCAACACTGGGCCGGATGCGGTGGCTCACGCCTGTATTCCCAGCACTTTGGGAGGCTGAGGAGGGTGGATCACGAGGTCAAGAGATCAAGACCATCCTGGTCAACATGGTGAAACGCCGTCTCTACTAAAAATACAAAAAATTACCTGGGTACGGTGGCGCGTGCCTGTAATCCCAGCTACTCAGGAGGCTGAGGCAGGAGAATTGCCTGAACCCAGGAGGCGGAGGTTGCGGTGAGCCGAGATCGCGCCATTGCACTCCAGCCTGGGTAACAAGAGCGAAACTCCGTCTCAAAAAAAAAAAAAGTGTCCAACACTGGCCTGGACAACATGTCGGAACCCTCTCTCTACTAAAATTACAAAAATTAGCTGGGCGTGGTGTCGGGCGCCTCTAATCCCAGCTACTTGGGAGGCTTCAAAAGGAGAATCGCTACCTGGGAGGCAGGGGTTGCAGTGAGTGAAGATCCTGCCACTGCACTCCAGCCTGGGTAACAGAGTGAGACTCCGTCTTAAAAAAAAAAAAAAAGGGTTGGGCACGGTGGCTCACGCCTGTAGTCCCAACACTTTGGGAGGCCGAGGCAGGTGGATGACGAGGTCAGGAGATCGAGACCATCCTGGCCAACATGGTAAAACCTGTCTCTACTAAAAATACAAAATTAGCTGGGGTGGTGGTGCGTGTCTGTAGTCCTAGCTACCCGAAAGGCTGAGGCAGGAGAATCACTTGAACTGGGGAGACAGAGGTTGCAGTGAGCTGAGATCGCACCACTGGCACTCCAGCCTGGCTATAGAGAGACACTCTCTCAGCAACAACAAAAACAATGTCAATATCACTTAAGGAAAACAATAAAGGGGTTGCCATGCACCTGTAATCCCACCTACTTAAGAGGCTGCAATGTAGCCAGTCTCCTGTGATGAATATTTATATTTCCTAAAGTTGTATTCATACAGAACCATTGATTCAAACAAAGCAAGAACAACGTGGAGTCGAAAAAAATAAGAGTCCAGGAGCCCAGTCCTGCACTTGAGTCCAGGAGTTTGAGGCTGCAGTGAGTTATGATTGCGCCACCGCACTCCAGGTTGAGTGACACAGCAAGACGCCATCTCTAAACAAACAAAAAAAGGGGGAAGTCGCAAAGACCACACTGTATGATTCCAGCCAGGCCCAGTGGCTCACACCTGTAATCCCAGCACTTTGAAAGGCAGCTGTAGGAGGATTGGTTGAGCTCAGAGATCAAGAACAGCCTGGGCAACGTGGCAAGACCTCTTCTCTACAAAAAACTTAAAAAGTACCTGGACATGGTGGCACATACCTGTGGTCCCAGCTATTTGAGAGGCTGAGGCAAGAGGATTGCTTGAGCCCAGGAGGTTGAGGTGGTAGTGAGCCATATTTGTGCCATTGCACATTAGCGTGGGTAACAGAGCAAGACCCTGTCTCAAAACAAAACAAAAAAGAGAAAAGTCTAGAAACAACAAATCTATAGAGACAGAAGGCATTTTTTGCAGTTGCCAGGTGGTGGGGGAACTGCAGTTGAAGCAAGATTGATCACGTGGGAAAAAGGCCTTGTACTGGGGTGATGGTATGTTCCAAAACTAACTAAAAATTACTGAATTGTACTCTTAAAAAGGGTAATTTTGGCCAGGTGCAGTGGCTCCCGCCTGTAATCCCAACACTTTGGGAGGCCAAGGTGGGTGGATCACCTGAGATCATGAGTTCGAGGCCAGCCTGGCCAACATAGCGAAACCCCGTCTCTACTAAAAATGCAAAAATTAACTGGGTGGCAAATGCCCATAATCCCAGCTACTCGAGAGGCTGCGACAGGAGGATCACTTGAACCCAGGAGGTGGAGGTTGCAGTGAGCTGAGATCACGGCCACTGTACTCCAGAGTGGGCACCAGAGCCAGACTTTGTCTCACAAAAAAAGGGTAATTTTATGTTATATGAGTTATAATCTCAATAAATTTTTGAAAGCTAATAAGCAGAAATTAGTTGTTTTTTTTTTTTTTAAGGTGGAAAGACTGCTCTGGAGCAAAAGAAACTAAAGACACCTAACAGTCAAATGTAATGTGTGAAACTAAATTAGATCCTGGGAGTGGTGGGGAGAGGAGGAACAGCTATAAAAGACATTCTAATTGTATGTAAATTATACTTTAATAAGGATGATTTTAAAAATACATTGTTCCAGAAGGACCAGGATTGAAACAGAATTTTTTTCTTTATTTCTTCTAAAGGGATACATGTGTAGAACATGTAGATTTGTTACATAGGTATACGTGTGCCATGATGGTTTGCTGCACCTACTGACCCTGAAATAGAATTTTATTTTATTTTATTTTATTTTTTGAGACAGTTTCGCTCTTGTTACCCAGGCTGGAGTGCAATGGTGCGATCTCAGCTCACCGCCACCTCCACCTCCCGGGTTCAGGCAATTCTTCTGCCTCAGCCTCCTGAGTAGCTGGGATTACAGGCATGCGCCACCATGCCCAGCTAATTTTTTGTATTTTTAGTAGAGACGGGGTTTCACCATGTTGACTAGGATGGTCTCGATCCGTTGACCTCGTGATCCACCCACCGTGGCCTCCCAAAGTGCTGGGATTACAGGCTTGACCCACCGCGCCCAGCCTAGAATTTTATTTTTTGAGGCGGAGTGTCACTTTGTCACCTAGGCTGGGGTATAGTGGGGCGTCTCGGCTCATTGCAGCTTCCACCTCCCAGGTTCATCCACCTCCCAGGTTCAAGCAATTCTCCTGCCTCAGCCTCCCAAGTAGCTGGGATTACAGGCATGCACCACCACGCCTGGCTAATTTTTGTATTTTTAGTAGAGATGGGGTTTCACCATGTTGGCCAGGCAGGTCTTGAACTCCTAACCTCAAGTGATCTGCCCACCTCGGCCTACCAAAGTGCTGAGATTACAGGCGTGAGCCGCCGTGCCTGGCCTGAAAAATAATTTTAAAAAGCAATAAACATAAAAATTCATTCTAAGAACAAAGGGGGAAATCTGAATATGAACCAGATATTATAGATTTTACAGATTTTCCAAAGTGGAGAAAGGCATTGGCTGACCTTCCCAGAAATGGTTCTTGTCCTCTCAAGACCCTGACACCACACTGTCACCCAGCCTGCTCAACTTACCTTCTCCTGGGGGCCTGCCTCGTAATAGTGGCAATTTTACCCTTTCTTTGCACAATTAGGTTTGTGCTTGCTTCTTACTTCTTCTCAATTATGTTTTTAGGGACACAGATGCTAGAGATTGATGAACACAAAAATTGGAATCATGGTTCCCTCTGAAGAGGAATGAGAGCGTGCAACTGAAGAGGACTCGCAAAGGGCATACTAGTAGACGTGCTGGGCTTCTGATTTCTGGTCTTTACACGGATTTTATAGACTTGTGGTAGGCAACTTTTAAAGATGGTCCCTTGTCCCCACTTCTAGTTATACTATACGTGCCCTTGTGTAACCCCTCCCAACCCCCCACTCCAGCTTAAGTGAGGGCTAAACCTAGTGACTTGCTTCTAACAGATTACAGGAAAAGTGATGGTTTGTAGCCAAGCATGTGGGTGCGCCCTATAGTCACAGCTACTTAGGAGGTTGACGTGAAAGGATCGATTGCGCCCAGGAAGTTGAGGCTGCAATGAGCTACGACCATGCCACTGCACTCCAGCCTGAGTGACATCGAGACCCTGTCTCAAAAAGAAAGTGATGGGTTGTTATTTTTTGACTAGGTTAGAAGACTGTGACTGCCATCTGGCTGACTCTACTGCCTTCCTGTGTGCATACTTCCACAAAGCAAGGTGCCATGTTGGCAGGGCCTTTGTGACAAGGATCTGAGGGTGGCCTCCCATCAGTAGGTCACAAGGAACAGTCTCGTGCCAACAGCCATGAGACTGGCCTAGGAAGTATATCCTTTCCCACCTGAGTCTTGAGACAACTATGGAAACCTTGACTGAGGACCGTGGGAGACCTTGAAGCAGAGGACTCAGTTGAGCCATGCCTGAATTCACAATCCACAGACATTAAGTTGGTTAGTCACTACATTTGGGGGTAATTTGTCACACAGAAATAGAGAGCCAATATAACATACTCTGTACATAAAATTCACAATAAAAAATTTTAAGTTTGTAACTCTAGAAGTACATATATATATTTTTAGCGGTCTTACTCCACGTCCCAGGCTGGAGAGCAGTGTGGTGCAATCTCGGCTCACAGCAACCTCCGCACCAGAGCTCACGTGATCCTCCCACCTCAGCCTCCCAAGTAGCTGGGACTACAGGCACACACCACCAAGACTGGCTAATTTTTCTTTTTTTTTTGAGATGGAGTCGCTCACTGTCGCCCTGGCTGGAGAGCAGTGGTGCCATCTCAGCTCACTGCGACCTCCGCCTCCCGGGTTCAAGAGATTCTCCTGTCTCAGCCTCCCAAGTAGCTGGGATTACAGGCGTGAGCCACTGCACCTGGTCCCCCTGGCTAATTTTTCTATTTTTAATATAGACAGGGTTTCATCATGTTGCCCAGGCTGGTCTTGAACACCTGGGTTCAAGCAGTCTGCCTGCATTGGCTTCCCGGGTGTTGGAATTATAGGCGTGAGCCACCATGCCCAGCCTAGAATATTTGTAAAGGTCTCAGAAAGGGGTCTATCACCAATTACTGTGATATTTCTTCTGAACCTTTTCTGGACTCTGGCCTAGGTACTGGGATATATTGGTGAAAAGCTAGACAAATCCCTGCTGGGATTTTACACATTAACACCCAGTTAACAGAACTGTTCGTGCATGTGCAGAGTATCATTTTTTTTTTTTTTTTTTTTTTTTTTTTTTTTTTTGAGACAGAGTCTTGCTGTCGCCCAGTCTGGAGTGCAGTGGTGAAATCTCAGCTCACTACAACCTCCGCCTCTGGGGTTCAAGCAATTCTCGTGTTTCAGCCTCCCAAGTAGCCGGGATTACAGGGGCAGGCCACTATGCTTGGCTAATTTTTGTGTTTTTAGTAGAGGCAGGGTTTCCCCATGTTGGCCAGGGTGGTCTCAACCTCCTGACCTCAGGTGATCCACCCATGGCAAGCCTTTCAAAGTGCTGGGATTACAGGCATGAACCACTGCACCCAGCTGAGTATCTTCTTAATTCATTGTGTAAGGCATGGATATATACAGCAAACCCAGTTCTCAGTGTGGGCTAGGCAAACCCCCCTCAGCTTATAAATTGTTTCCTAAGGGTTTCCATGAGCACCTCCAACCAGCAGAAAAATGATAGGTTTTCCTGGTTACCTTTCATTTCAAGCACTTCTTTCTCAGGGTAGCCATTTGAGACCTTTCCGACCAGTTCCATTCTACACATGCTGATGATGTCACCAACTTGGCATCTGACCTGCCTTCCCTTCAAAGGTCTGTGGAGGGAGGAAATTGTCTACTTTGGCACTTAATTATCTTATCTTCCCAATTGTTGGGCATGGTGGGAAAGAAGAGGGGGAAGGATTGCTTGAGGCCAGTTTTTTTTTTTTTTTGAAACGGAGTTTCGCTCCTTACCCAGGCTGGAGTGCAATGGCGCAATCTCGGCTCACCGCAACCTCCGCCTCCTGGGTTCAGGCAGTTCTCCTGCCTCAGCCTCCTGAGTAGCTGGGATTACAGGCACGTGCCACCATGCCCTAATTTTTTGTATTTTTAGTAGACAGGGTTTCACCATGTAATTTTTTGCATTTTATTAGAGACGGGGTCTCACCATCTTAACCAGGATGGTTTCAATCTCTTGACCTCGTAATTCACCCGCCTCCACCTCCCAAAGTGCTGGGATTACAGGCGTGAGCCACCGCGCCCAGCCCGAGGCGTTTTTAAAACTAACCTGGACAGGGTCTTGCTGTCACCCAGCTCGAGTGTGATCATGGCTCACTGCAGCCTTGACCTCTGGGCTCAAGGGATCCTCCCACCTCAGACACCTGAGTAGCTGGGACCACAGGCACATGCCTCCATACCCAGTTTATTTCTTATTTGCAGAGTCAGGGTACCCTCATAGTACCCAGGCTGGTCTCAAAGTCCTCAGGACATGGCATCCCAAAGTGCTGGGATTAACAGTATGAGCCACCACATCCAGACTTACCTTTTTTGAGACAATCTCTCACTCTACTCTCCCAGGCTAGAGTGCAGTGGCATGATCTTGGCTCACTGCAATCTGTCTCCTGGGTTCAAGCGATTCTCCTGCCTCAGCCTCCCAAGTGGGTGGGATTACAGGCATGCACCACCATGCCCATCTAATTTTTATGTTTTTAGTAGAGGTGGGGTTTCCCTATGTTGGCCAGGCGGGTCTTCCGATCTCAGGTAATCCGCCCACCTTGGTCTCTCAATGCTGGGATTACAAATCACCATAGCCCAGCCCAAGTATTGAACTCTAATACCAGCTGTCAGGGACTATGCTGGGCACTGAAGATGTTTTAAAAATAGAGATGGGACTGGGTGTGGGGCTCACATTTGAAATCTAGCGTGGACAGATTGCCTCAGTCAGGAGTTTGAGACCTGCCTGGTAATTCTGATCAGACCAGCGTAAAATGGTAGACCCCACTCCACTAAACATTCAACAAATTAGCCGGTGTGGTGGCACATGCCTATAATCCCAGCTACTCCAGTTGCTGAGGCAGGAAAATTGGTATAAACCCAAGGCAGAGGTTGCATCACTGCACTCCAGCCTTGGTCAACAAAAGCAAAATTCCATCTCAAAAAATAGTTCAGTATGTGGACAAAAAGCAGTTAATGACTAGATATGGGCTGGGGCGCAGTGGCTCACGCCTGTAATCCCAGCACTTTGGGAGGCCGAGGCGGGTGGATCACAAGGTCAAGAGATCAAGACCATCCTGGTCAACATGGTGAAACCTCATCGCTACTAAAAATACAAAAAATTAGCTGGGCATGGTGGCACGTGCCTGTAATCCCAGCTACTCAGGAGACTGAGACAGGAGAACTGCCTGAACCCAGGAGGCGGAGGTTGCGGTGAGCTGAGATTGCACCATTGCACTCCAGCCTCGGTAACAAGAGCGAAACAGTCTCAAAAAAAAAAAACTAGATATGGTGAGATGACTATTCTGTCACCTAGTGAAATGAGGAAATACTAGGGATAATGAAAAGTTTGATGTTTATTTCCACCTTGCGCTCAGGACTGAGCTTAAAGTACTGACATTGAATGATTTCACTCAGGGAATATGTAACCAGACTATAGGACGGAGACACACAAGTGCTGATGGCGGTAACTGACACAGAAGGAACCAGCCAGACCAATAAAAATTGCAGAATACACCAAGTCATTAAATCTGACACCCTTAGGATAGGCAAATTTGATTGCTGTGTTAAAAACCCGAAGTCAGTTAAGGTGGGCATTCAGGTTTTCTAAGCTTGTCCGGACATACTGTTTACCCTACACATCTAATTGCCAGCACTGTGTATTTAATTTCACGGAGTCAAGTCCTCAATCAAGGAAAGGCTATCCCTTTGACCAGATCACCAGCACTTGAAGCTGAAGCTGTTACAGAAAAAGCCTGGGCACAGTGGCTCAACAACAGTTTGGGAGCTGAGGCAGGAGGATCAGCTGAGGTCAGGAATTTGAAACTAGCCTTGCCAAGATGAAACCCCATCTCTGCTAAAAACACAAAAATCAGCTGGGCATAGTGGTGCATGCCTGTATTCCCAGCTACTCGGGAGGCTAAGAAAAAAGAATCACTTGAACCTGGAGGCAGAGGTTGCAGTGAGCCAAGATAGTGCTACTGCACTCCAGGCTGAGTGACAGAGCTTATCTCCAAAAAAAAAAAAAAAAAAAAAAAAAAAGCTATTAACATTTCTCAGTCTGTCACACTAGTCACTTTTCAGATCTCTAAATGCATGAACTCATTGAACACCTGTCCAACCTTCTGGCTCCTTGCTTTTCCTGCCTCTGCCAACTTAAAATTTTGAGATGGGGTCTCACTCCGACACCCAGGCTGGAGTGCAGTGGCATGGTAATAGCTCACCACAGGCTTAACTCTGGGCTCAAGCAATCCTCTCACATCAGCTAGGACTACAGGCATGTACCACCAGGACAGGCTAATTATTTTTTGTAGAGACAGGGTGTCACTATGTTGTGACAGGCTGATCTTGACTCCTGCCCTTCACCGATCTTCTGTCTCAGGTAATACATTACAGGCTGTGAGCCACCACACCCAGCTGCTGCCTACATTTTCAGTATTCCACTCAACAGACATTGAGACTTCCTGGGTCTGGAAAAGTAAAAAAACAAAAACTAAGTACTATGTAGAATTAAGCAAACAAATGATGTTTCAGAAGTAGCCTATTACTGCTTAAAATAAGGCCTACATCAACACCCTAACTCAAACAAGGACAGACAATTGTTATTTCGTCTTTATTTCATAATCATAAACTTAACTCTGCAATCCAGCTAGGCATGGAAGAGAACAAGGAAAACATGGAACCCAAAGGGAACTGCAGCGAGAGCAGATTTTAGGATACTGCGAGCACATGGGGTGGAGGGTGCTCTCCTGAGCTACAGAAGGAATGGTCTGGTGGTTAAGATAAAACACAAGTCAAACTTATTAAAGTTGTCCACAGTCAGCAATGGTGATCTTCTTGCTGGTCTTGCCATTCCTGGACCCAAAGCGCTCCATGGCCTCCACAATATTCATGCCTTCTTTCACCTTGCCAAAGACCACATGCTTGCCATCCAACCTGGAAGGAGAACAATCACTGTGACTGGCAACCACAAACAAGCTGTCTCCATGTGTCATGAATCAAGACAAGGTAGCTTAAAAAGAAAAAAAAAAAGACACCCAGTCACATGCTGTTAATACTGACATGAAAGTAGTACTTACTTGGCCAGAACAGTGCCTCACGCCTGTAATCCCACCACTTTGGGAGGCCAAGGCAGGCACATCTCGAGGTCAGATCGAGACCATCCTAGCAAACATAGTAAAACCCCATATCGCTACAAAATTACAAAAAATTAGCCAGGCACTGTGGCACTAATCTGTATTCTCAGCTTCTCGGGAGGCCAAGGCAGGAGAATCGCTTGAACCCAGCAAGTGGAGGTTGCAGTGTGCTCAGACTGTGCCACTCACTCCAACCTGAGCAACAGAGCAAAACTCTCAAAAAATTAGCACTT